AACTGTAACGGACCCTGCCGTGTTATCTATGATTACTATAAGCATATATTACATTCATAATTTCAGCCGGAGGGAGGGGAAGCAGCGCTGCGGAACAGCAGAGTGGCGAGTGAGAGCTGTCATCTTCCCTTTACAAGCTTCAAAAATGTATTTATCGTGTGATTTTGAAAATAAAAGTTTCATATTCTGAAAGCCAAGACTTTGTTTGTTTAAAATCAAACAAAACACCCGAACCCCGAAAAACTATTTTTTTACACAAATCCAGGTTTATTTTGAAATGAGCCGTTGCGACTTCCGACTGATTTCGATAGAGCGGGTCACATATTACTCCCACATACAGCACACAGCTTGAAATGTTTCGATATTCAGTGTTTACCGCTAGAACAGTGCCATTATGTATTATATAACAACTTTACTCCAAGGCCCTCTTGTAGACATCCTGATGAATACACAGACACACAGCTGCAGGAGGGGATTCAGCTAGCTGACTGTATATGGGGACGGTAGGTTGCTAGGAGTTCAATGTAAAGCCAGCCCACATTTTAATAATGACGTAAAATCTTAAAATCTGCAGAAAATCTGGATCACCTCCGTTGTACCCCCGTTTTTAGAGATGTGGATAAGGAGGAAAAGAGAGGGTTTTATTTTCTGAAACTTTGTGAGTCTCCTTACACAACAGGGACACATATGTATGTATAAAATACATTAAAAGTGCATAATAGGTGACCTTTAAGTCTAAAATTATATCTCTTTGTGGCTCTGTTTTGGTCTCCACCCAAAATAAGAATAACTTTCCCTTTAGCTGTTAAATACTCCACTTCTCACCACTTAGTTGCTAATTTTGCACAACACACCCAATAATTAAATTGTTTTAAAAACATGTTTATTATTTTGATAAAATATCTAAACAATACCAGGATTTTTTTTTTAACACATTCATTGTTTTCACTTCAGCGTTGATTGGATCTGTCTGTGTTTGTAAAAGGCTGCTAATTACTGTGATATCGCCTCTATTATTATCTCTACATGTGGCTCACATTAAGGGGAGGCAAAACAGGTGATTAGAGTAAAGCATTTACTAATATGAATCACCATGAAATGTACCTTTTTTATTGCTTATTAATTATGACATTCAATTTATGTTTTTAGAATTTACAATAGGGTCAAATCATTTAAAAAAAAAATCGTATTTTATGTTTTCTGAAATGTTTAAATATGCAAATTGGGAATTATCTAATGCAAACTATTGCTGTATTAAGAAACAAAAGGCAAACAGATCAATTGTAATTGAATAAACATATACATTTATATTCAAGATATTTTATTTCCACTAGTCTGAGCAAAAACATGTTATAGAAGCAAAACAGCCCAAACTCTGCGATTGACCAGTAAGAAAAAATAATATTTTAGTCTGTAGTGTCTTTCCTGACAAATAATGAGCATAAAAGCACTCATTTTCTGTGTCTAAGTGAATGCGAACATAACCCAGTCACCCACACGCTGCAGGCTACAATAAAAGATGCCACTCTCTTCCTTTTGGCTGTGCAGTAGTGAAGTATCACTCTCAATTTAGCGCTCTTGTCGGTCCCAGCAGGAGTGGTTTGTGCAACAGAGGTGAAGCTGGCAAGCTGCTGAAGTACTTTTGTCCCTCAGATCCCTTTGTACTCCAAGTCAGAAAAACGAAAACGCCTTTAAAGAGCTGGCGAAACAAATCCACTTGCTCTCATGAAACATCACATCATATTCCCATCAAAACATCACCAATGCGTAACTTTAGGCGTTCTATTTCATTCATAAATGTGATCATTTCGAGGTAATTTAGAGTTGACATCCAGTCAAAACAAAGGTGATAATTGTTATTTCATCCGATGTATTTGTAATATACAAATGCTAAACAGCCCTTGTTTAATCTCTGCCTCCTTCATTCCCACAGGATTGTGTTTTGTCCCAGCTAGAAAGCCAGCGTTGTGTGTCAGAAACTTTGATGCTCCTGGAGTTGACAGGCGAGTCCCAGGGCATTGTGACTTCTCCAAAAGTGTTATCTCTGTGCAGATAACAGCAGGGTCTGTTAGCAGGTGCCACTCAAAGGTGTGTTGGAAGTACCTGCAGTGGGATGGCAAACTGCAGATGAAACCTGAGCTAAAAGATGATCCATGACAGGAGAATGATAGATGCTATGGTAAGTCCAAATTTCAATAATCAGTGGAAAGAATACCTACTGTCACAGGAAGTGGGAAAGCTGTAGACCCAAATGCAGGGGACAGGACTACATTACATTACATTTAATTTAGCTGACGCTTTTATCCAAAGTGACTTACAATAAGTGCATTTGACCAAGAAGATACAAACTTGAAGAGAACAGAATCATATAAGTACATTAGGTTTCATAGAGCCAAACCATTTTAAGTGCTACTCAACTGGCTTTAGATAAGCCAGTTGAGTTAGCACTGCGCCGCGCCGGAAGATGTGTAAGCTTTCTGCTGTCCTGATGTCAATGGGGAGCTCATTCCGCCATTTTGGAGCCAGGATAGCACACTCACCGTTTTTGCTTATGGGAACTTGGGTCCCCCTTGCAGGATCTTTTTGAAAATACTTTTATTCAAAAAAAATAAAAGCCGTCCTTAGTAACAGCTGATAAGGAAGAGGTGAAAAATGCGATGTAAAAATCACCATGACATAGATTAACAAGAAACAGATAAAGAGCAAAATCGGAATCTTTACAATTACAACTAGTGTAGTCATGCACCGTCTCTCATTGCACTTCTGTTTTTTTTTGTACATACATTTCCGTCTCGTTTCAGGGCCCTTGACTTCCTGCCCGTATGTGTTTGACCGTCAGTGTGATTGACAGCCCACCCTTGATTGTTTCCACCTGTGTCCCATTAACCCTTCTATAAATAGCTCTTGTCTTCCTTTGTCCTGTGCCAGTTCGTACTTTTGTGTCGAGCCATTGCATTTGAGTCCCACCCATTGTGCCATGTTCCTTACACACTCAAAAAAGTGAACTCTGTGAGTTGTTGAATCTAATGGATGCATCTTTATCCAATTTAATTGATATATCTGAGTTAGCTGTTTAAACTTAGTTCATTTAAAGGGGACCTATCATGCTAAATGCACTTTTGTACGTCTTTTATACATGAATATGTGACCCCGGTGTGTCAGGGAACTCACCAAGTGTCAGAAAACACAACCCTCTCTCTTCCTCCATACCCAAATCTCTAAAAACGGGGCTGCAACGGAGCTGATTATTATTTGAATTTTTCTGACGTCAGAAAAGGGGTGCTCCGCCTATATGGGCAACTCTCCACCTATCAGGGGAATGAGAGACCGCTCGATAGCGCTGGAGACGCTGTAGTACATATGCCAGGCCTGTAAGTGGCACTGTAGTCTGCCACAAAAGCAGAATCAGCCCTTGCAAAAACAGGGCTGGAAAAGAGCAAATAGATGATGCATGATCTGTTTGGTATTTTGAAAAAGAAACTTCACAGACATGTTTTATATAGGTATGGCCCTACAATATATGTTTCAAATATAGCATGATAGGTCCACTTTAAGTAGGGTTTTCTTAAAATGGAGACCTGTTGAAGCCACATATGCTGCTCGATTATCTCCAACGCAACACAGCTGTGTAAATCGCACAGGGACAACTGTGGCGCATGTGCAGACGCTCGAATGTGGGATATGATTGTGACGCGGGCTTTTCCTGCGGTGACGGTACGTCTACACAGCAGCGTTAAAAAAATCTTGAAACGCTTCTGCCCATTCACTTTGAATGGGGTGACGTCACTTTCCCTCACTTTTCGCCGAAATGCATTGTGGGCAGGCGAGCGGAGATTTTGAGGATTTTGAGGATTCAAAGTTGAACAATGTTCAACTTTTGAGGCTGAGGTGGAAGCGTCAGCCAATCAAATCCCGTGTACGCAAATCTGACAGTTCAAGCTCTAGCCAATCAAATGGCGTGTATGCTGGGAGAGACATACCGCAGGTCATTTCCTCATATTCCAAAAAATGGAGGAGAAATTAGCGGTAGCGAATCAATCACCCGGTGCTTTATGACCAGACCTACCGGGATATAAACCGGAGGAGCCAGGCATGGAGGGAGGTGGCAGAGACAGTGGTAGGTTTTCGCCTGTTTTGGGGAGTTTATATCCAGTTTACTTCGGGCTTTTTTGCTTCGTATGTCGCGGGCGGGAGATTCATGTGATTGGTTGCTCGCAAAAAATCCTCAAGCTTCAGATACGCCCACCTCCAAGATTTTTTTAACGCTGCTGTGTAGACGTACCGTGAGGAAGGACAGGAGAAGCTGAAGAAGCTGAAGAAGCAATGGCAGAGACCTGAGCGACATCCAAATATGAGTGAGTATGTTTTTCCTATGCAACATTTGAAGTTGGTTTATAAACATGCGGTTAGAATGTGAAATTGAGAGCGTCATAACTCGCAGAAATATCTGCAATATTTTAGCTAATGTTGGCTAGCTGGAAAGCTAGCTAACTAACTCAATGCTAGCCAGCAGGAATACATCACAGTAGCAACCAAACAGTTTTAAATTTAATTAGAACGTACTGACTGAAATAAGTACGTTTTGACTGAAGTGAATACCCAAGCGGTTCAGACTTGTGTGTTGTGACATTTTCATTTAATATTGTGAAAGTGGCGCGAAGATGGCTGTTGGTTGGGTCTAGGGATATGTGTTTGACTCTCAGTGATCAGGACCGGCTATTAACCGGCAACTGAGCTACCTGTGGCGGGGGAAGACAGAAGCTTGCAGATAAAGAACAGACTGTGTGACAGTGTGAGGGCTAGCTTGCTAACGGTAAACCAGCTACGTTAGTGGCTGGGCCAGTGAGAGTGAGAGAGGGAGCGGTGCTGTGGCTGCGGACAGGCTAGAGCACTGCATGGGCAGTAGGGGTGGGAAAAATATCGATTCACCAAAGTTAAGTATCAGGATTTGCCACACACGGAGCATTAGGGAGCGGTATTGCAATGTACGCTGGTTGCCAACCGCTGTTAATAAACAAAAAGAAGAAGAAGACTGTGACGTATCTGTTGCACGGAGAGGAGCAGCAGGTAAACAAAGAAAATGGCGGAAAACGTGAAACTACCGGAGATACGACCTGCAATGTCAATACATTGCAAGGACTGACTGGCTGCTAGTTCAGTGAGTTTTGGTCGTACAGTGATGAAACTTATACATATGGAATCTGTGGAATCTCAGCTTTCATGTGATATGTCGTTTGTGCAGATATTATGACGTAGAAAAGATCGCTTTTGCCAGTTATGTGCTAAAGTAGCCATTAGCCCGTTTTCGCTAAGTGCTGATTCAGATGCTTGGTGTTAGACTTGTGTTTCATTTAGGTAAATATCATCTGTTAGCTGAGTTTCCACAAGCGGTTACTCAAGGACTGTCGTGCAGTGTAGGGAAAAACTCAAAAAGATGAAGAGTGAATATCGCTTGGTAAAAGACAACAACAACACGAGTGGTGCCAGTAGGAAAAACTGGAAGTGGTTTGACCTAATGGACACCATTTACGGCCATAGACCGGCTAGCGTTGGGAGGGAGGGAGGCCTGGACTCTGCAACGGCGTTACTGGAGTCTCTGCATGGTAAGTTTTTGCTGACGCTCTGTTATTTGCTTGAAAGCTTTGTGTCCCTATCTGTTCTAAAGCTCACTTCTAACAAATAAGTCTATTTTATCCTTACATTTATGTTCGACAACCCATGCTTTTATGGAGCCCCGAAGGCTAGCTAGCTAGCTAGCTAAGGCAGATAGCATTAGCTAGAGCTATTGTTTGCTAACACCATATGTGCCATTGTTTACGTTCAGTTTGTCTTTTCTATAGTTGTGGTTGCTATTTATAGTATTGTGCTGCAGTAGTTTGTGGAATTAACAAGTCATGTTTCTGTTCTAGATGATTACATTGGGACTAGCGAGGAGGAACAGTTCCGAACAATGTCCTCTGCATCGACATCCTCCACATCAACAGCACAAACTCCAGCTCGACCACAGACACCAACACAGACACCGACACCAACACAGACACCAACAGGAGCACAGACACCAACGCCGAGTGCCAGCTCGACACCGCTGCGTGTGATTCTAGGTAAGAAATAGGCTGGAATTGTGACTTTTTTTTAAATAAGCTGTACCACTGTGTGGGAATGCTCTGTTACAAGTAAAGTAACTAGCTAGTAAGCAGCTAGTACAATTGTGTGTGACATCCTATTATATACATATATTTATATTCATTATCAACACACATTGTAAACATCTAGGGCCAGAACTTTCTTTAATTCATCCTTACGGGCCGTCTCCACAGCAGCGTTAAAAAATCTTGAAACGCTTCTGCCCATTCACTTTGAATGGGGTGACGTCACTTTCCCTCACTTTTCGCCGGAATGCATTGTGGGCAGGCGAGCGGAGATTCTCAGGATTTTCAAGATTCAAAGTTGAACAATGTTCAACTTTTGAAGCTGAGGTGGAAGCGGCAGCCAATCAAATCCCGTGTACGCAAATCTGGCAGTTCAAGCTCTAGCCAATCAAACGGCGTGTATGCTGGGAGAGACATACCGCAGATCATTTCCTCATATTCCAAAAAATGGAGGAGAAATTAGCGGTAGCGAATCAATCACCCGGTGCTTTATGACCAGACCTACCGGGATATAAACCGGAGGAGCCAGGCATGGAGGGAGGTGGCAGAGACAGTGGTATGTTTTCGCCTGTTTTGGGGAGTTTATATCCAGTTTACTTCGGGCTTTTTGGCTTCGTATGTCGCGGGCGGGAGATTCATGTGATTGGTTGATCGCAAAAAAATCCCCAAGCCTCAGATACGCCCACCTCCAAGATTTTATTAACGCTGCTGTGGAGACGGTCCGTTACTGTTGTTCTGTTTATACATTGTATTCTTATATCCTTGTGTGACCTGTACCTGTCCTGTGTTTTTTCATTCTTATTGCTAATTATTATTGCTATAATTATCTTGTCACCCAGGCAAGAGGAACCGAGGAGGAGAGGATCTGGCCCTGCAGGAACGGCAACTGGCCCAGCAGAAGGAACACCAGGAGCAGAACCTGGCCCAGCAGAAGGAACACCAGGAGCAGATCCTGGCCCAGCAGAAGGAACACCAGGAGCAGAACCTGGCCCAGCAGAAGGAAGACCAGGCCCTGCAGGCTCAGCACATGAACCAGACCTTGGTGGAGGCGAGGCTGTTGGAAGCAGCCTTGAGAAGGGAGGAGATCGCTCACGCAGAGACCTTTAATTTATCCTTCCTGCGCACTCTTGGCCAGGCGCTAGGGGGAACGGGCAGCTGACGTGCCCCGTCTCCTCCGCCTCTGTGATCCAACAAATAACCTCTGGCTGAGATTATATTGTTTATTTACATTTGTACTTTCTTGTTTATTTTTTATCTTTAAAATGTTTATTTTTACAATCAATGCCATGTCTTTTTATGCTGCTGCAATACAAACATTTGTTTTTTTTGTATTGTACAATGCCATGCCTTTTTTATGCTGTTGCAAGAAAACACTTCCCAAATTGTGTTAAATAAAGTACTTCTTTGACTTATCTTATTGCTTGTTGATAAATAATTGCACCCAACAGCGATCACACAGAAAGATGGCATCATCTAGGCGTCCCTCTGCAGTCAGAAATATCATAAACACCATCATCGTCCACAAAGCACTGTACAGGGGTTTATGGATTTAAAAGAATACTTATCACAGTGAAACCTTTATCATCTGTTGCAATTAAAGCAAATAAGAGAATAAATACTTGGTTAAATAATACATTTTAAGTCTTTAGCAGGACAACTCTGCATACTGTTTGAAATTGAGTTTGCTAGCTTGAGGTCCTCCTCTAAAACATAACATTACATATTTTGTAATGGTATTAAGAATACATGATAAATAAATAATACATGTAGTAAAAATTGCTCAATTGTAATACCCTCGTTGTGCTAGACTCAAACACATTGCTTATATATTTCAAAGAGAAGAGAACAAAAGAAAACACCTATACAAAGAGAGCAGTGCACAGCGCTTAATATTTACTTGCACTATATTTCTGTTTATCTGGGTTATTGTGTTGCACTGTTGTAGGAGCCTGTGACCTAAGATTTTCATTGTCATAACTACACTGTAGCTATGTTCGTATGACAAAATAAAAAACCTTGAACCTTGAGGCTGTGTCTTTCAGACAAACCATCATAATCATATATTATTTTATGCTGTGGATACTTTAGCCTCCATCCATGTTAACTATTTGTTACACTTGCATTTATGAATATAGTTCTGCTGTGTTTTACACTTTTGTATTTATGTTTATAGTTTGCTTTGATATTTGCTTAATTTATTAGATTATTATTATTATGGGGCAGTAAGTACTGGTGCTTGAAATTCAAATATTTACTAAATAGTCAATTCTGATAACATTTTTTTGGTTTAAATAGCCGTCCAGTGTCAGGGAAGAGTTTTAAGAGCCAGTTTTGCAAGGGATAGGCATTGTCTCCCAGGATGTAATAGCCAGCATTCACCCCACCAATGTTCCTGGTGCAAGCTGGAAAGTAGTTGCCACGACTGGCCAACTCCCACAATGTGGACAGTCTCAAAACCCGAGCGTCATGCAAGCTCCCAGGCATTCCTGCAAACACATTCCAGAAATGTCCCTTTCCATCTACAACTCCTTGAAGGATGATGGAGTGCCAGCCTTTACGGTTGAAATAGTCACAGTGGTATTCCTGTGGTGCCAAGATGGGTATGTGTGATCCATCAATAGCACCTACACACTGAGGGAGCCCCCACCTGTTCTCAGTGTAGGCAGCCATTTCTGCAAATTTCTCCCGGTCTGGTGAACGAATTAGTTCCGGTACTAACAACGTCTCTGCAGCAGCACAGAAGTCTTGCTCACTCCGAAAAGATGTCCAATGCTTCTGTACTCTGAGCCGGTAGCAAGCTTCTACAGTGCGATGGCCACTCTCTTCTTTAAAGGTATACACTCGCGGAATGGTGTGTCCTGTCTCTCCATCGCTGGCCGCAGTTTGTTGCACAGGTAGACGTAGGTTTCCTCAGACATCCTGAAGTTCTCCACCCACTGAGTGTGTGTGAAAGATGGAACAATCACATTCTACCACTCGGTAGCTCGGTCGAGCATCCAAGCACATGGTCTAAGGCGGCCACGTAACTTCTGAAATACACAAACAAAAGCATACATATTTGAATACGTAAAAGTGGTAGCTACAATTAATTAAATACTTGAAATGCTTTGGTCGTATAGGGAGCGTGAGCCTAAACACATTGCTAGTCCTTGTGACAGCGGAGCTGCAGCAGTCTGTTGGAGAAGGAGTTCCGTTGACTGTCCAGCTGCAGGTGGAGAGGATGGGTGGTGTTATCCATGATGGACAACAGCCTGTTCAGTGTCCTCCTCTCCACCACAGCTTCAAAGGGGTCCAGGTTGATGCCGATGACAGACCCAGCTTTCCTGATCAGTTTATTGATCCTGCTGGTGTCACCGGCTCTGATGCTGCCCCCCCAGCAGACCGCAGCAAAGAAGAGTGCACTGGCCACAACAGACCGGTATAAGATCTCCAGCATCTTGCTGCATACGTTGAAGGATCTCAGCTTCCTCAGAAAATAGAGTTGGCTCATCCCCTTCTTGTACACAGCGTCAGTGTTGATCCTCCAGTTCAGTCCATTGTCTAAGTGCACTCCCAGGTATTTGTAGTCCTCCACAACAGCCACATCCTCTCCCAGAATGCACAGGGGTAGAGGAGACGTCCTCACCCTCCTGAAATCAATGACCATCTCTCTGGTCTTGGCCACATTCAGAATACTCACAACATTAGGCTGAGGTTCATCCTGAGACAAGTCCATTGGCAGGTCATCTTCCGCTCTTCTAGAAGTGGTTGTGCTTCTTGTTGCTTCCGGCTAAAATAAACATAATTAAAGACATTTTGAGTGTTTAAAATGTGCTGTAATACACAACACTTTATTTATTCCTAAACTTGCAGAAAGAAAAACTAAAGTGTGACATTGAATCACATATTTATATGTCCTGTCAAAGTCCTCACTCTTGAAGTGCTCACTGCAGAGCAGTGTCCTGCCAGAGGAAACAAAACCGTCCCTTCTTAGGGCAACTTCCCACTGCCTCCTCCTCTCTCCGGTTTTGGGAAACCTTAAAAACATGAGAAAGGTAGCAAGATATATAAATTATTGTCAACATTTTCCGCCCTTCTTTCCTTTAACATTAAGGGTAAGGACAAAAATACACACCTAAATTATCATATTTTTGGGGTAATTGTATGTATGTATGTATGTAATGTATGTATGTATACTTTAAGAATAAGACAACCACACTAAGAGTTATAAAAAAGGTGTCCAAAAGAAACATTAAATAATTGTGTAAAGAAATGGTAGCAACATATTCTAAAGAGGCTGGGTCAACAACAATCTTGCAATACTATTATCTCACATAGCCCCACTGATCCTGTGTAGCAGGACTTGTAATGTACATACATCCACTAAGTAATTAACGATTATCCTAATTATAGTCATAATATTGTCATATCTTACACGTGAAAGGTGATTCGATGGGTTCTTGTTTCCAGACTACGGTGATTAGAGCATCCGTAGGCTGCACAAAAGTCAGGCATAGTCAGGTACTTCTGTAAACACAAAGCCAACAATTTCCTGTATCATAATGTATCTAAATGTAAGATGTTTTTAACAAGCCAAACCACTTGGAAGAAATCATGTGTAACTTAAGTTATGTTGAAAAGAAAGAGCAGTTCTGCCTCTCCCACTGGTGTAAAGTTGCTGGGTCAACTTTGTAATACTAGGTCTCACTCACAGCCTCTTGTTATTAGCCAGCTAATAAATACAACCACATACACAAAGAAAAGCTGCAATTTCAACATGTCCAAGCATCCTGCTGTATCATAGCCATGCTAATAACGTTTATAATAAACCAACCCGTTTGTAAATCAGTCAAGATTTTAGCGAGTTAACCTGTTTAGCCCTGAGCCTGTTTTTCAGGTCTCAGGCTCGAAAATGACATTCTCAGAACAAATGACCATATCTTCCCTTCTAAAAGGGTTAAATTAATAATCTTTTTTCTCAAAGTAATGATAAACCTGTGAGTTGGATGTAGAAAAGTCATAACAATATAGATGTTTTTTATTTTAAAGAAAATTCAGATTGAACATAGTAAAAAACTGTAAATTATAGTGTCCGTCCAAAAATTATTTTTTACTTATAGTGAAAACTACCCTTGGATGATGGTAAGGTAGACTAAAAGCTTTAGGAATCCAAAGTACAACATATAATAAGCAGCGGTGGGGACTCAAATCACATGACTTGACTCGAGTCCGACTCGAGTCGCATATTTTTGGACTTGAGACTTGCTTGACTAACATTGATAAAAGACTTGACTTGACTTTGACTTGGTATTCATGACTTGAGACTTGACTTAAGCTTGAGACAGATGACTTGAAAGGACTTGACTTTTTAAAATTAAATATTTGCGTTTGTTTTTGTATTGAGATATTACGTTTAGTTTTCTCGAAATGTGATTGGGTGATTATAGCGCCATGCGCGCAAACCTGGCAACCCACTAGACGGCAGGAGTGTCAGTTAACATGGCAGCGGCTAGCGTTACTCCAAAAATAGTCAAGTTTGGATTAAAAGATTATGTTGTCGATGACGCTAATAAGAAGAGAACAGCGGTATGCAGGGTCTGCAGCATAAAGATCGGTGACAGGACCACCAGAACATCCAACTTCATTCGTCACTACAACAAAACCCACAGAGAAAGGTGCGTGCATGTGTTGTGTTAGCTAGAAAGCTAACGTTAAGTTTAAGCTACGTTAGACTTGGTTTCAAATCGATTAAGCATTGCAAAGACAATACAAAACGGTAAATGAACACTAGAACCGCCAAGAGATTAATTTGTACTAACCCTGATACTGACGGGCTGTCAGGAGAGGGAGAGAGGAAAAGAGATGCCTCGTTTATTTCCCCTGTGTTATTATCAGAAGTTACTGTAAAGTTTTGAATAATGTAGTTCATCTACTTTTAGTAGTTTGTTTAAATGTTTTAATTATGTTGTTTTTGTTTGTAGAAGTGCATCATCTTTTGATTTATTGTAAAATGAATCTGAACATTTTGATCTGTTATGATGATAAACTGAAGCAATTTCTAAATTAACCCAATTAAGTGAGTTTTAAATCGTCCTACTTAGTTTATAAGGAAATTATGAAGAGGAACAAATTAAATGATTTGAAAATGATATCTATGTAGGTGCTGACGCTGTTGGCGGTTCTAGTGTTAACATACATTTAAATTAAATATGTGTAATGGCAAATGCCATATATGATTTTCTTACCTGGAATTCTGCCTTTTTTAACAGACTTTTTGATTGAGTCCTAGCTATATTGTCTGCAGTTCTGGGGTTAATATGAATCTAATATGATTGTCATCGGTCTAAATTAGATTTCAAATGATTAACTGTGTATGTAATGAAGATCATAGTGTGGGTTGAATCCATTTTCATAACCACTGTCTTTTAACTGATTTAAATGCGGAAACTGGGTTTATTCATCAGAATTTCGAATGACTTGACTTGCTTGACTCTCACCACAGTGACTTGGGACTTGCTTGATACTTGTAGGTCAAGACTTGAGACTTGCTCATGACTTGCACATGTAGGACTTACTCCCACCTCTGATAATAAGTACCCTGTATCAAGATTGATGCAAAACAAGTGACATTTGACCTTTTTAGAGAGGTTTAGCAAAAAAAACTCCACCTCTGAGGTGATTTGGGTGGAAATTGGGGTTTTACCGTTTCTCTGGAACCCATTGGTCGATTTTGGTGATTGACATCTCTTTCTGACCGTTAGAGCCAATAGAATCGAAGGGGAATCTCCCCTCTCACACACATGGTAAAATAAAAAGGTGCGGGCTTCACGCATGCAGTTTTGCATCAGAGCGAACCTATACTCTAGCTCTGACATCTGGAAACGGAAAAGCAGGTTTATTGCTCATGGATTATCAGAAATCATTTCAAAGGGACACAGACACATTGGATTAACCTATGGATTAACTTCAGCAGCGTTTTTATCGTTTTAATGCCATTGAAGACCACTTTTGACCAGACTACGAGACAGGTAAGCCATGTTAGCGTTTTTAGCTACCTAGCGCCACATGTTTTGATGTCTGTTTTTGTTTATAAAGTTGCAAGTTCGTATCATGGAGTGATAATGTATGCACCCATCGATTCTGTGTCACCTCACGATGTGAAACGATGTCATGGATGTGCAGAAAAGATAAATAATAAGGTTTTGTGAGTGAATTTCGGTGCAGTAATCTGTTAGCATTTTTCGCTCGTTGCTAATTCAAAGGCTCAGCGTTAGCATTGTGGGTTTTATTTTGAAAATAAAATAAAAATGATCAGTTAGATGAGTTTCTTCTCGTTACATGGATATAAAACATTCATAGTTTATTAAATGAACATGCCCTCAGACACTGTTTCCTGCAAGATGTTGCGGCAGTGCCCCGGTACCGAGGTCTCTCGGGCTTAACAGGTTAAGTAAGTCTAAGAAATTATTTTTTGGAGTGCAGGAAGGATCTCAATTTATTCATTCACATATTTGACATCTTAACGTATAACACATTGCACAGTATATTTAAAAAATGGTTAGGGTCAGTTTCAGATTAAGGCCCTAAATCTGAAAAAAAACTACCCCATTTGTTTGAATGGTAATAAGGAAGACATGCAACAGTTTGACTCATTGACACGTTTTTATTGTTTTTTTGGCTACAATGGAACTCTTTGACAAAGAGGAATAAAATATACT